GACCAACTTTAAACATATTGTAAATATCAAACGCAAACAGCTAGGAAGCCCAAATTTAAACCACTAAACCATGGTAATAACAACTACATGCTACCTTAATATCGCACAAACAGTCCATAACGCACAAACAACAGAATAAAAAAAATTAAACTGCAGTACCAAGGTCAATCACCAGGGGCTCAAAGTCAACCTACACAATCTCCAAGGCCCCATCCATCAATCTGCCAAATATCGTACAGTTCCTTCTCACCGATCTTCAGATATCAGACCAAACATGAAACGGAGTAAAAACAATACCCCCATTTTCATGGAGGGTAAAAACCTGAATTATTGTTAATTTACAATGCAATAGCAAATTTCTCGGAGGATTATAAATACTTTAAAAGAAACATCCAGTTACATATTGTACTGTATGCCCTTAAGTGATTATCTCATATTGTCCAATCCTCCCCTAGAGTCAGTCACGGTCCATCCCTTGGCTCAACCCTGCCCCACATCCAATCATGGTCCGTCCCTTCCATCATCCCTCACATATCATATAGACTTCAACGGTTCGTCCTCTTCCATCCCCCCTAGTATCATTCACGGAGCGTCCCTTCGAACAAACCGCCCCCAGTCATTCACGGTCTGTCCCCTATATATGTGAGCTTACATATTGGCTCTGTTCCTATTCTTTGGCAGATTTATATACGGACATTAATATCTTAATACAAGATCGCTTTACTATCGTTACAGATACCAGCTGGTATTGAAATAAAATCATATGGCACCCCCATGCTGCAGGCCTAGGTGTCGTGGTATCGTCTATCAACAGCCGTTATGTTGTGGCACTAATATGCTATACCATACCCATTCAGGACGGGGGGTAAGCATGTATTATGTGCTGTAATTGTGATATCACTCATCTTATGAACATTACTTCTAACATCGCTGTTAATGTAATGTCAGAAATTTGTCAGCATTTGTTGTGAACATTATGTATTACTATATTCTCTTCGGCGGTTTGGAATTTCTTGCTCATTAATTACGTTGTTTAGGAATTTCAGACCTCTAATATCTAGTTCCACTTGTGGCTTTGTTTATCTCTTTCAATTGACAAATGACACTGAAAGTGCTTTAGAGCTGAAATACGAGCCTGCGAACGCCAGGAATGTTGTTGTACGGGGATTAGATCGGACCGGGCGCTATTATTACGACCGGCGGCAATAGCCTCTACCAGGCTTCGGGAGGCGGCTGGGAAGAGTAAAAATTGGCCAAATAGAGAGAGATAACATGCCAGGGGAGTTGGCCGGCTAGAGCGGCAAACAGTACTCTCAAGCGGACCAACTTGTGAGGTCGTGTGGCATAGCGGCAGAGTGTTCGACTCGGAATCAAGAGGTCCGGAGTTCGAGTCTTGACATCCCACCGATCTTGTGCCCTTGGGAAAGGCACTTTACACGACTTTCCTCACTTCGCTTAGGTGAAAATGAGTATTGTATTGTCCCCTGTGTTGGTGGCGACATTAATATAAGTTGAAAAAACCTGAGTGTGCCGTCACCACGTCTTATGATTAGATGTTGGAATATTTATTTTTAAAAAGCGGACCAACTCCCTCAGCATGTTATCTCTCTATTTGGCGTATTTCTACTCTTCCCAGCCGCCTCCTGAAGCCTGACAGAGGCTAGGTAAACAGGCGAGTAGAATACCGGGGTGTGGCGTTATTGTAACCCCGTGACCTCGGCACGCACCAGGAAGTATTAGCCTCCACTGGGCCTTCATACGGGGGCCAGTATTAAATCAATCAATCAATCCATCTTTATTGCGCAACAATTGCAACAGGTACAATGTATGGCAAGTATAGACAAGAGTAACAATACTAAAATCTACTTCTAAATGACTAACTCTAGACGCTACGCTGTAATTGTATTAAAGCAGATCTTTTGGTGGGGGTAAGATCTTGGGTGGGGAAATGGTTACAGACTGGCCAATTTGATACCTAATAGTCTTACCCCCACCAAAAGATCTGCTTGGAGATTAGGGCCAGTACAGATCCTAGAATTCGGTAAAAAAAAGGAATAGTTGGCCAGGAGAGTCAGTCTGCGAGAGGGTTAAGTTCCCTTACTGAACGGGCACATGAACTCTGCGCTGGCTAAACTCCCCTTGTCAATTATTGGAATATAGTATAATGTTAGACGTAGATATAGTCTCACATACCACTGAATTTTCTTTCTATGTTGTTTGTAACTTCAATTAGCCCTCGGGCATTCATATGTATTTGCAATAAACTTTCACTATTATTCACTATTGGCTAAATTTTCCTTTTTTTTAACCCACGCTGTTAGTCTAGTGGAGACTACGGAAGTATAGAAATTTAACGTTCCTCTAACGAAAAGAAGCCTTGTTTTTCCAGGATTTGCTAGAGTCTGTATCTGTATGGCCGGTATATTGTCATTTCATAGATTGTTAGATTGAAAACAAAAATTTTTAATGGCATTTTGTTTCTAGCGGCCTGTAATGTATGAATAACTGCATGCCGTGTGCTAACTGCATGAGTTATGTGGACTGTATCCAAATCTTCTGTACCAATTTAGAAGCAGAACGTGCTGGGAGATAACGCTATAAATCAGTAGAGGCGTCAGGAAGTACAAGGCTGTCCGGGGTGCGGGGTCTAAATGCAGACAACACGGTTCCTGTGGATTGCAGTTTCACTCATCAATTAGGAACCGCAACCTTCTGTCTGAAATATGCACCAAGGGGACATTCCGGCTCGGTTCTGTCCGGATCATTCAGGCTGGGTTTCACACAAATCACTTTTTGTCATAATTTTATTTTTATATCATGTTTGTTACATGATATGTGTGGTGGGACTAGCTGAACCTCCAACCAATGAAGAATAAACAGAGGTAGGCAACGAAAACATGGGAGGATGATGTAAAAAAATGGATTAAAAACCAAGAAGGGTGGGGAAAACTGGTTGTGAAGTGTTCTATGTTGCCCCAACGGTAAAATACGTACTAGTCTAGAGGATAGATGAAGTGAGAGGAACGCATTGTATGCTACATGCATATGACAATCATAAGCAAACAAGGGGGAACATAGCATCTGACTACGTAGTTTAAAGGCTGACTCTAAATTATAACCTGTTAGATTTGACTTATAATTTTCTGAAACAGTGAAAGACGAAAGATGTCACATTTTCTCTAATGTGTACATGTGGGTTCTGTGATGTTAAGAGGACAGTCTTCTTTCTGTTTGTCTGTACACGTTGAAAAACCTGGGTGGAATTTTTGGGCTTCTAAAAACTAAAACTATGACTCATTTGATTTATTAGACTGTATAAATGGACATACAGGCAGGACTGCCCAACTATCCGGATATAACCCGTTAGTAGATAGCCATGATGGTATCCTCCCCATTTCGATTTTATTTTTAAAGTTTGAGCCAGGGTATGATGATACATACAGACATCTGTCACTTCGCTTGAACGGCTGTGTTAGTATACGTTACCAACGGTTATACACATATATGGAGCATACATTACTATCTGTACACGTATGTGGATATTTATGTCTAAAGTCTTGGGTCCAGTCTTATAACACATCATGTAGAAACGTAGTTCGACTTTCTGGGTGGGCGTGTCTTGGTGTAAATACTGTAATGGTACGTGGTTACATAGCGGTTTACTGATGGAACATTTAAACTTAAGGCAGAAGGGTACGTAGTGAATAGAGGAGAGAGAAAAAATTGCCAGGGCAGTTTTGGCATCATAGATCTAAAGTTTCATTCGCCCGCGCAGTTTCCAATGGGAAGGGTTACCCTTATGCTTACTTGGTGACACACACACACACACACCCCTGCCGTTGATAGCATTGTCACGACCCCACATTCACGATGTATGACAAGAATGGGGATAAGACAATTCCACAACTATCTTTGGCGCTCGTTGCTTCAGTTTACATCAAATGCAGACGCCAACTGCGTCAAAATCATAAACCATAATGCGCACGCCGATTTTAATCGGACAACTGTTATTTTTAAATGCCAAGACCAGCATGATGAAAGTGCTGCATAATCTATATAAACTATTACTGCATACTAGTAATCTTATCTGGAAAGTTCATCTGTGCCATTCGTGATAGACGTCATTATGAAGTAAGTTTTAACTGTAATTTCCATCACAATAAATTGGACGTATTCAAATTTTTGACGTCTGTACTTTGCAGATTTCCTTGGCACCGACTGGAGTTGTACAGTCGAAAATGTAGATAAACTGCTTCATAATTATCACTAGATAACTTGGACACGTTTTTGTACTATTAATATCTCAATATCATATTGTATACTGCTTAAAGATACTTGATTGAAAGCATCAGCTAGAGATTATGAATTTGCAGCGCTTTCTGAATCCGAACCATCCACTGCAATATACGTAGAGAAACGTTAACATCAGATATAGATCTAGCCTCCACCAGGCATTCCTACGGGGGTACGGATCGTAGAATTCGGCAGAAATAATTGACCAGAAGTAGTCTCCACCAGACTCTTTTGCAGGCTGCATAAATAGTAGAAATCTGTCTAAAAAGAACTTAGCTGACCAGTGGAGTAGATTGCCAGCTACATTCTTTTAGACCGATTGTCTGCTATTTATTCAGCCTGCAAAGGAGTCTAGTGTAGACTAGGCCAGGACAGTCAGAACGCTGGAGGGCTAATTTGCCCCTATAGCGTACTGAACTCTACGGTTGCTAAACTCCTCTTGTTATTATTCTCTCTATTTGGCTAAATTTTACTGTTTTTATACGCGCGCTGTTGATGGAAACCAAGATAGATCCATAGACCAGCTATGTTGGTACCTCTTTACATTCTGTCTGTTCCCTTGCAATTTGAAAACACATACATAAAATTATTTCTTAAACGACTCATTTTCGTTCAGGAAGTAGCCATATCCTTCGAGACCGTGCAGGCATTGACGATAAATCTTTAAGACGTCTCAAGACACGTTCCAAGGAGATGTGGATACTTACCGGCATGGTGGGACCGTCTGTAAGGAGTCTTGGAGGAAGGAAGTCGTCTGAGCTGAGTCTCTCTATCTCAGCTCTCTGCTTGGGAGGTTTGTTAAGAATTGTGAAATGCCGGGAGCGGGTTTTATATGCGGGATTTGGTGTCTAAAATTACCCGTGTGTGGATCGGTGAAGGTTTAGAAACGGTTTCTCATGTCTGTAGACTATTTATCATGTAGGATCCGGAGATACTGATTAATTAGGACCCCTGCTGGGGGGCTGGCAACCAAGCCCAAGCCTGGTGTTCAGATCTTTCACAACCTAATATCCAAGCAGATCCCTTTCGGTGGCAAGGCAGTATCCATTAGCCTCTACCAGGCACCGCGGATTGCTGGAAAAATAGTAGAAATTGGCCGAAATAAAGGGATAGTATACCAGAGAAGATCAGAGAAGATCCAGGGCCATAGAAGCTCCAATTTGCTACCCACGGATTGGAGCTTCTATGGCCCTGGATCTTCTCTGGTACACTATCCCTTTATTTCGGCCAATTTCTACTGTTTTTCCAGCGATCCGCGGTGCCTGGTAGAGGCTAAGTATCCATCAGCCAGAGAAGTTTACACGGCCACCGAAGGTACTGGACACTCCTTTGGCCAGTGGATATAGCCTTGTCACCATATGATCTGCTTGGAGATTAGCACAACCTACCCGGAGAGCCTGGTACCCGGCCCCTTATAGAGGCTGTTACCCAAAGGTACTTTCAATTGGTAAGCTGCTGTTGCTGCTGATAGCCTGGTACCCAGGCTTTGAACAGGGACATATGTGGGGATACTGATTGAAAATAGGACCCCTGCTGGGGGGCTGGCAACCGAGCCTAGGCCTGGTGTTCACATCTTGCACACCCTAATCTCCAAGCAGAGGTTTGGGGTTATTTTTGGCGTGTTTGTAGGCTTTTTTATCGGGGTTTGTTTTGCACTGTTGGGTTGAGTGAGAAAAAAAAATCCAGTGCAAAAGAGAAACCACGATTAAAAAAAGCCCTAAAACACGCCAAAAATAACCCCAAACCCAAACCTCTTTCTCTTTCAGATCCCTTTCGGTGGCAAGACAGTTATCATCAGCCAGAGGAGTCTGCACGGCCACCGAAGGTACTGGATTTATTTTACATTCATTGTTACTATGCACATTTCTTTTGCATTGTTACTATGCAGATTGATTTTACTTACATTGTTACAATGCAGATTCATTTTAGTTCCATTGTTTTACTATGTAGATTCATTTTACTCCCATTTTTCCTGTAGCAATTTTTTTACTTCCATTGTTACTATACACATTTCTTTTTTACTTACATTGTTACTATGCAGATTTCTTTTACTTCAATTGTTAGTATGCAGATACATTTTACTTTCATTGTTACTATGCAGATTCATTTTACATTCATTCTTTCTATGCGCATTCATTTTACATTCGTTGCTACTATGCACATTTCTTTTACTTGCATTGTTACTATGCAGATTCGTTTTACTTCCATTGTTAGTATACAGATTAATTGTACTTTGTAATTGTTACTATACAGGATCATTCAATGTTGCCATACAAGATCATTGCACTTGCTGTGAAAGTTATTTCCATTGGACTGTTAGAATTATTTTACCACATTATTACAAAGTAATCTTTTACAAAGGTGTTTACTGCACAATTTTTCACAAACAAGAAAGGTACATCATTCGTTCCTTTTTCATACAATCCAAATTAAAAATCAATTCTATTCACACACAAGACAACAGACAAAGCTCTATTGGTCCATTTGATGTGATTACTATGAATATGGGATACCATTGCATAATTGCGCTTTTATTGCTATATGCTTCATGGCAATAGGTTATCACGTATTAAATATTTCTACTTTAAATACAAGCACAATTAAATACAAGCACATAATATCCCATAGGAACATATGGATAAAAGGTGGCTCACAGGGCACAATGATTCACTTTGAGATCTTGCATTTTACCAGTGACTTGAAATTTAATTTTGTTGAACGCGGCTGGCGAGGACTCGGCTTGTCGCTTACTGACGTCCTGCAAAGAAATAAACAAAGGTACCATCAATACTGAGTTGTGGACTGTCTTGAAGAGTTTCAATAACTAATGCATGAAGAATCAGTGTTGAGTGTACGCGCATGGTTAAATTTAAAGCTGGTTAAGTGGTGCTCGTTTGGAATAGTGTCAAGAAATGGTATGTTCATGCGAAGTACCTTTAGTCTCTACCAGGCTAACTACGCTGGCTATATATAGGGAGAACAATTGCCAGGGGAATTTGACAGCTATGGGGTTTATAACTGGCCAATTTAAAACTCTCCTTTTTGCCAAATGCTACGATCTGTATTCCTGTAGGAAGGCCTTGTGGAGGCTATAAGTACCTGGTGCTACTTGGCATAGGAAGTGTTGTGGAACGTTGCAGTTGTTATCATTCCACTTGTCCCCTTTCCAGTAGTCAGCGCAGTCCTCCTCGCATTCCTCTTTACCACCGTTTGGTTCCCCCCGATGCCAAGAGCTGTGTTCTTTGGAGTGGTTATTACTTGGCTCCCCCGGAGCCCAGGAGTCGTAGCTCCCAAGTGGAGAACCATCGATCCACTCGAAGCTTCCCTCTTTGCGCCGATCATTGAGACCAAACCAGAAAGTGGCTTTTTTGTCGACGGCGTTCTTGAGAGAGATGAGGAAGGCGTCTGTGGCAGCGTCTCGGGGCATGGCAAGGGTGCCGCCATCGACGCGACAGTACAGAGCCGAGTCCCCAAAGTTCGCCAGGATGTTAAACGCCTTGTAGCAGGTTTCACGGAACATAGTGTAACCTTCAGGGCAAGATGCTAGAAACAAAAAATTTATAGGGTTTTAATGTGTTCTTGAAAATAAAAATTGATGATGATAAAGGTAGAAAAATACAATTCACAACTAAATATCTATTTCGCTATTTAAACATAAGAGTTGTGTTCCTCGTATAGAATAGCTGTATTACCTTCGTTTGACCTGACTGGTTTAGGATGTTCCGGTGGTCCGGCAGCTTTTCCATTTTGGCCAGGAGGACCAATAGGCCCCATCAACCTTGGAGGGCCAGGTGGCCCAGGGGGCCCCACACAAACAGGGCCAGGTGGCCCAGGGGGCCCCACACAAACAGGGCCAGGTGGCCCAGGGGGCCCCACACAAACAGGGCCAGGTGGGCCCATGGGCCCCTTTTCTCCTGGTGGACAGGCAGACACAGGGCCAGGTGGTCCAATGGGCCCCTTTTCTCCTGGTGGACCGGCAGACACAGGGCCAGGTGACCCCTTTTCACCTGGTGGCCCAGACGAGCCAGGGGGGCCTGGGGGACCAGGTGGTCCCATACTCCCCAAAGTTGCCGGAGACACGCCCATCCCTGAAAGACGATAGATTATCGTTCAGCTGAAAATAAGCAGTGAGGTACATTTACACAAACTATAGATAAACTGACATGACATGTGCTGTGACATTTTTCTCTGTAAAATAATATGGTTAAAATGACATAGTTGTACAAAATACATACTGGATGTCACTATCTTGTAAATGTCAACAAGATTTCATATTTCATCTGGTATTCTACGTTATCAGGTCATGATACTAACGCTCAAGATCCGCACGTAGTAACTCAGCCATCCTGCCCCGTGATGTAAGATTGGCCACCTCAGCAGAAAGCGTCATCACATTAGCTGGATTTAAACAACAAGAGAAATAATTTGTTGGTCTGTATAGTAATATAAACTATATATGCAGCATAGTAATTTGAACAGTATATATAAAGTTTGCAAGTACTAGTATTCAATCATTGTATTACACAGTGCACACAATTAAAAAGCTGACCTGCAAAATATGGCACCAGCATGGCGTTGCCCATGACTAACAGAAAACCCAGGGTTAGCCACATCTTCTTGCACAAACCGCTGCCATTGGAAACGCTGTCCGGTGCCGCATCGTAGGCCGCTGTTTGATTGAAGAAATAAAAAGTACTACCATACCGAAAGACAACGGTGACTGAAGAAGTATCCAAAGAAGAATATACTCAAATGTAAATGCGGTCCTAGCTTTTATGCGAGGTATAAGTTGCAGACTCCACTGAACCTTTTTTTAATCAACTGCGGACAGTTTACTGAAAGCAACCGGGTTTTGATTGTCTGCCTCTGCCTGATTGCTTGTCGACGAGGGAGAAAGACTTCAATTGCAACGTTGGTGTGATTCATGTGAAGTTGTTTGCTTTATTGTTTGCTTTGTGCAACATTTAAAAGCCGAGTTGCCGTCTATTGTGCATATTAGACTGTGTGACATTTTTTATCAACACGAAGTCATCGTTGTAATAACAACACTCGTTGAAAATGGCAAAAAAATACACGAAGTCCATATTTAGGCCCTGATTGTAAGCAGCTTAAAAGTAGATAAAATTAATTTTGTGCATAACGTATTCATATCAGTATGGGTAAAGCGCACAAGAATACTAACGTGCAACTTCACTTGAAATGCAACCATCACTGAAAATGACAGACATTAAAATGTTCCTGCAACTCAACTGTGACTGGTCAATGTTTTACCTGCTCGGCAGCCGTACGCAGGGTTGGCGGTTGCCGCATCATCGGTCTCTGACTCGGTCTGAGACTGCTGCATGGGGGCGGTGCCTGGGGAAATATTTTGTTCCTCAAAAATCATTATCTAGAGTCATGTATGAAATTATTTGGGATACCTAAGCCGATCTTTACCCTGGAAAAGTTTATGCAAATTGTATTTAACTTACCAGTTGGGTCCTGCTGCTGCCGTCTCGGCATGATGTCTGCTCCTCAGGATTCCTGACAGCAAAAATACGTCCTACACCAGGCTAGAAGCTTGTTGACTGAACCACAGTCCTAGACCAATATGGCAAAAACTGGAAAGCCTCCTCAACTGGATTTAGATTCAAAAGATGAAACGAACCATGCTGCATGAATTAGACATAACACGTATACTCCTCGGGATAGACAAATTAAATGAATTAGTAATTGTTTTCAGCACTATAAACAACTTCTTCGGCTATCACATTGCAATTTTATCATGGAACTTCTACTCTGTTGGCAGTAATATTAGTACTATGCTTAACTTTATTCCAACTCTAGATACACAGAGATCAAATTTTCAGCGACCACTGTCGCCTTTACCAGGATAAAGATTGACCAATCACTTCCGCACGTAAACTCGCGAGAGTTACGGTTACAGGCACGTGACCTTATTCACACGAGACTTTACGGATACGTGACGTCAACGATTGATCAAGCGCGTCAGGGGTATATATCAAAGCACCTCAGCCATCATTAAATAACACGAGACGCTGGACGTCATAAACTACCTGGCATAATGATTCATTCTAAAAAGGATGATGACAAAACACAAAAATCTAGCTGGCTCTCACATTTTATTACCATGATGTGCATCAGGAAAGATAAATATAGTAATATTACACAATGTACTATCATCTGTTAAGTCATTTTTCCCAGACTGTGACTATTCAGATCCATTTTACTTCAATTATTACTATGCAGTTTTAATTCACTTGCACTATTAATACAGAATTCACAAATTGTACATCCCAAGAGATAGACCTGAAAGGCCGTCATATTCTCTACTATATAGAGATCATGCAACAATTCTAAATTCAAGGAAGCAACAAAGTTGATGAATATAAAACATATAGGTTACTGCTTACATTTACTTCCATTCTTACTATGTAGATTCATTTTACTTCCATTGTTACTATACAGATTCATTTTACTTCCATTGTTACTATGCAGATTCATTTTACTTCCATTGCTACTATGCAGATTCATTTTACTTCCATTGCTACTATGCAGATTCATTTTACTTCCATTGCTACTATGCAGATTCATTTTACTTCCATTGTTACTAAGCAGATTCATTTCACTTCCATTGTTACTATGTAGATTCATTTTACTTACATTGTTGCTATGCAGATTCATTTTATTTCCATTGTTACTATATAGATTCATTTTACTTCCATTTTTACCACATAGATTCATTTTACTTCTATTTTTTCCAATGCAGATTCATTTTACTTCCCTTGTTACTATGCAGATTCATTTTACTCTCTCATTGTCACTAAGCAGATTCATTTTACTACTTCTATTGTTACTATGCAGATTCATTTTACTTCCATTGTTTCTATGCAGATTTCTTTTACTTCCATTGGTACAATGCAGATTTCTTTTACTTCCATTGCTGCTATGCAGATTTCTTTTACTTACATTGTTGCTATGTAGATTCATTTCATTTAAATTTTTACTATGTAAATATCACACAAAAACTGGCTTACATGGCACAATGATTCACTTTCAGATCTTGTGTTTTACCAGTGTCTTCTTGAACTTTAACACAGGTCGTGAGAGCTCGGCCTGTCGCTTACGGACGTCCTGCAAAGGAGTGAGCAAAGGTACCATCAACTAGGTGTGGAATGTCTTGAAGAGTTTCCATAATAAATGCATAAAGAATCAGTGTTGAGTGTATGCGCATGGATAAGTTTAAAGCTGGTTAAGTGGTGCTCGTTTGGAATAGTGTCAGGAAATGGTATGTTTATGTGAAATACCTTAAGTCTCTACCATACTAACTACGCTGGCTAAACATAGGGAAACATTTGCCAGGGGAGTTTGGCCAGTTTCACTGGCCACGCCTGGCCAATTCAAAACTCTCCTTTTTGCCAAATGCTACGATCCGTCATGATTCCTGTAGGAAGGCCTTGTGGAGGCTATAAGTACCTGGTGCCACTTGGCATAGGAAGCGTTGTGGAACGTTGCAGTCGTTATCATTCCACTTGTCCCATTTCCAGTAGTCAGCGCAGTCCTCCTCGCAGTCTTCGTAAGCACCATTTGGTTCTCCCGGATGCCAAGAGCTGAAGCTCCCAAGTGGAGTACCATCGATCCACTCGAAGCTTCCTTCTATGCGCCGATCATGGAGACCAAACCAGAAGGTGGATTTGTCGTTGACGGCGTTCTTGAGAGAGATGAGGAAGGCGTCTGTGGCAGCGTCTCGGGGCATGGCAAGGGTGCCGCCATCGACGTGACAGTACAGAGCCGAGTCCCCGAAGTTTGCCAGGGTGTTAAACGCCTTGTAGCAGGTTTCACGGAACTTAGTGTAACCTTCAGGGCAAGATGCTAGAAACAATGTTTGGCATTAGTGATACATTTATGGCTATTGCATAGTTAATGTTGAACATAATATAATCAAAGTTCATTTGTTTGAACAGTGTTAATAGTTAAATGTTTGAAGTTAAAACTTTTGTTTCAGCAGAAAATTTAAATGTTATCACCTAGACCTTTCGACCAGTCACTCTGGTCTTGTCACAGTAGACTGAAAAGTGATGTCACACTTCAGATAAGTCACGTGACAAGTCTCACTGGGTTAGTTTCCTGATGAAGACCAGAGAGACTCATCGGAAGCTCTGGGTGAAAACATTTGCCTTTTGTGCTGTAACAAATTGCTAACTTTGTTAACATATGTATCGCATATGATCAAAATGATGCAAGTGAAGATAGGGTTAGCCATACACAACAAAATAGTAATTTTTTTAAACGTTTGAGTTGTGTTCTTAGTATAGAATGGTCATGATACCTGCAGAAGACTTGACGTTTGGACACATCCAAGTTCCATTATGGCCAGGAGGACCAATAGGCCCCATCAACCCTGAAGGGCCAGGTGGTCCAGGGGGCCCGCCAGACACAGGGCCAGGTGGTCCAGACGGCCCCATGGGCCCCTTTTCTCCTGGTGGTCCAGGCGGCCCCATGAGCCCCTTTTCTCCTGGTGGCATGTTGATACATTGATAATCCGTTACATTTTTTATGAATTAAGGTTATATACCGATGTATGTATACATATATGAGATTATATTGAAAATAATTTAACCCTGTGCCCTCCAGAAACTAATCTTATAGAATTTATACTTTCGCATTTTTATAAGACATACCACTTACCCTCGAGTTCTACAATACGATGTTTAATTTTCGTGTTCTGTGCTCTAAGCTCAGTCACCTCATCATAGAGATTCTTCACTTTAACTACAGAAAGAAAGAAGAAAATCACGATAGATTTCTGCAATGATACCGAGAAAAGAATCATTTTGAAAAAATCAGTACAATAACCGACTGCAAAATATGGCAGTAGGACAACGTCATACCACAACGAGCACAAGATGAGAATAAACTAGAAATGTAACGTTTACAAAGCAAATGCATTATGGCATAACAAACTACTACTCTGTGTATTATTCTTACTCATTGAGAAACACATTCATAATATTATACTAGTTAATGTATATTGAGACAAGCACACCCAGCTCTCTCCTGCTATATAATGTAACCCAACACTACATGGTGTCTGCTACAGCACTAGTTACCATGGTGACAGACGTCTGGACCAGTTTATTGACCTTGTGTGTTCGGAGAAGAAGAAGAAACCGAGCAAAAACAATATGTTCCCATCTGTCAAGGTAAACATCATTATTAAGCGATTAACCAACTGACCTGAAAATAGGATGATGTTACCCACAACTAGGGCAATGGTTAAGGCGATACACAGCGTTTTACCCAGACCTCGGACAACGCTCCAGGCGGTCCACAGATGTTTCCTCAGACCGCCCCCAGACTTCTTGTCAGGGTCTGTATCGGATGCCGCTTATTCACAACAACATTTAGTATATCTAGTTATATATATGTTTTATTTATATGAGTTGAAAGGAACAGCAAAATGTATGTAGATGTACATATGGTAGGTACACAATCAGCGACATTTAATATAGAAATGTTACCAATTATAAGTTATGGCAAATAGCAATGGTAAAATTATGAACATATCTTAACAAGAGTTTGCTGACCTCTGTCCTTCACAGATAATTTAGGTCTTTTCTAATTTTTTTTTCGTATCTTTGATTCTGTATAAATAGTTGTAATTACCATAATTTATATGTCATAATTCATATCAATTTATGGTCTTCTTTATTCAAAGTCTTTATTCACATCAATCTCTAGTAATTTTTAACTTAGACTAACACATGTCACAATGGACTAAATTCCCATTTTAGGCTAGGGAATTATAGAAATTTAGTGTGATATATGCAAATTAGTTCCCCTTTCTGCAATAGATTACATAGAAACCCAGACACACAAACACGCACGCACACACACACACAACACAAGCACGTCAACACAATACCTGCTCTTGAATTATACATGGGATTGACGTTAATTGCTGCAGCGCTCGCGACTGAGCTCCACCAAACAGTCTGACGCTGCTGTATGGGTGTAATGCCTGGAAAAAATATAGAATTCATAAGTCAAAATAGAGTAAGTTTGGCCTATATAATATAGAGTAAATCAGTGCAGAAAAAGACTATAGGCAAAAATTCTCTGTGAAGTTCTACATTTTGTAAATACATGTACATAAGCTCAACAACACGACAATCTAAACAGATTCATCTTTGATAAAAAAACATATTTCATTTGCTGCATATTATTTATTTGAAAATTTAAGTCACAATCCCAACAGTCATACTCGCAAACGATTATACACACAACCACCTAATATCTGCTTCCAGAACCTTGCCTCCCACACAGCTACTTAAACTACGGCCTATACCACGGGATTATAAAAATAGGGGTGTTTCTGAAATATGCATTTACATCAATATGAAACAAAACGTGTATCATCACGAACATAATGGATCACCACATACCCAATTACATGACTTTTGCTGCGGACACATTTCAAAAACAGCCCCATACGTTAAGAACAGACGGACTAACTACGGTATGCACGGTTTCAGTCGGTGAACGTACAGGTACAGAAAAGGTGAACAGTCTGCGACTGAAAATTTCGAAAGTGTCTCTTGTGTTTTAAAATGTAAAATGTCAGGACCCATAGTCATTTTCAGGTAGTAAAATAAGTCAGTAAACCAAGAAAACCCACCAGTGTCGCCAGTCTGGTCCTGGTGCTGCTGCCGACCCGACATATGATGCCTCTAGTCTGGTCTCCGTACGGAACAATACGCCCCACACACTTCAGGCAGAGAGCTTGTTGACTGGGCTGCGAACTGGGACCGAAGAGATGTGAAGCTTTGCTGAACAAGATTAAAACGTATGATATGAAAGAAAACAATATTGAGTACTTTTCGCAGCATAGACAAATCATATTATATAAAACATACATAATCATTTTTGAGACTGCAGGCTGTAAACAAGTTAATGAAAACAGACTTCAATGGTCGTAATTTTCTTGTCGAGAAGAACGTTTTTACATTCTATCACAGGTCGTTTACCTTTTCCTCGGGTGTTTTTATGTGTTTGTTGTACTGCTTCAACATGTATGGTTACTGGCAGCTGCTACTTTCCTTACTTGTCTCCTGTAAGTAGATGGCCCTACCCTACAAGAGCTGCCTACTATCCAAATCCGTGCCCCTGCCTTGTCAAGACTACCCACGTACTAAATATCAGGACTGGCCATATAAGCCTACTCGACTTATTGTGTTCACTCACACACACACACACACACACACACACACACACACACACACACACACACACACACACACACACACAGACACACACACGAAGGCACGGCTTTCTTTCACTTCCATTTTTACTAATTAATAATAATAAATAATAAGTATGCACATTCCTTTTGCTTTCATTATCATATTGATTTCTTTATTCATAGTAGATTCATTTTACTTCCATTGTTACTATGCAGATTCATTTTGCTTCCATTGTTACCATACAGATTCATTTTATTTTCATTGTCACTATGCAGCTTCATTTTACTTTGTTACTATTCAGATTTCTTTTACTTCCATAATTGTTACTGTGCAGATATCTTTCACTTCCATTCTTAATATGCAGAATTCTTTTACTTCTATTCTTATTATGCAGATTTTTGACTTCCATTGTTACTATGCAGATACCTTTTTCTTACTTCAATTGTTACTATTCAGATTTCTTTTACTTCCATTGTTACTATGCAGATTTTTTACTTTCATTCTTACTATGCAGATTCCTTTGACTTACATTGTTATAAATGCAGATTCATTTTCATTTCATTGTTACTATTCAGATTTCTTTCACTTTCACTCTTACTATGCAGATTCATTTTACTTCCATTGTTACTATGCAGATTCATATTGTTACTATGCAGATTCATTTTACTTCCAGTGTTAGTATGCAGATTCATTTTACTTCCATTGTTACTATGCAGATTTCTTTTACATACATTTTACTATGCATAGTCCTTTTACCTTACCTTACTAATAGTATGTAGTAAACTTCCATTGTTACTATGCAGATTTATATTGTTATCATGCAGATTCCTTTTACTTTTATTGTTACTATGAAGATTTATTTTTCAGTATTACAGTGCATATTCATTTTACTTACGTTATTACTCTGCAGATATCACACAAAAAAACTGGCTCTCATGGCACACTCATCCCCTTTGAGATCTTGTATTTTACCAGTGACTTGGAATTTAATTTTGTTGAACACGGGTGGTGAGGACTCGGCCTGTCCCTTACGGACGTCCTGCAAAGGAACAAAGGTACCATCAAGTTGTGGAATGTCTTGAAGAGTTTCAATAACTAGTTCATCAAGAATCAGTGTTGAGTGTATGCGCATGGTTGAGTTTAAAGCTGGTGATGCTTGTTTGGAATAGTGTCAAGAAATGGTATGTTCATGTGAAGTACGCTGACAATATACAGGGAAAACATTTGCCAGGGTAGTTAGGCTGCTTTGGGGTTTGACTGGCCACGCCTGGCCAATTTTACTCTCCTTTTTAATAACTGCTAAATACCAAAGGCCTGGTGGAGGCTAAAAGGACCTGGTGCAACTTGGCATAGGAAGGGTTGCAGATAGCGGCAGTCATCGTCATTCCACTGGTCCGCAGGCCAGTAGTCAACACAGTCTTCGTGCCCCTTGAACCCTCCATTTGGTTCTCTCGGATGCCAAGAGCTGAAGCTCCCAAGTGGAGTACCATCGATCCACTCAAAGCTTCCTTCTATGCGCCGATCATGGAGACCAAACCAGAAGGTGGATTTGTCGTTGACGGCGTTCTTGAGAGAGATGAGGAAGGCGTCTGTGGCAGCGTCTCGGGGCATGGCAAGGGTGCCGCCATCGACGCGACAGTAGAGAGCCGAGTCCGCAAAGTTCGCCAGGGTGTTGAACGCCTTGTAGCAGGTTTCACGGAACTTAGTATAACCTTCAGGGCAAGATGCTAGAAACAAAGCTTGATATTAATGCTACCGTAATTGCGATTGAATAGTTGATATTGAAAAAGGAACACAAAAATAGGTATGGCATATAATCACCATGCATGATAAATGAGTAAATGAGGGAAAACAGATAAGCTATATATACAATCAAATATTGATGTGATTATTCAAAAGTTTGAGTTGTTTGGTATACAATATTTGTGTTACCTTCATTCGACTCGACAGGTGCTGAAGTTGAAGAATGTTTGGCAACTTTTGGACACATCGAGGTTCCGTTTTGGCCAGGAGGACCAATTGGTCCCATCAACCCTGGAGGGCCAGGTGGCCCAGGAGGCCCCTTTGGCCCAGGAAGCCCGGCAGACACCGGGCTTGGCGGCCCCATGGCCTGATGTCCAATCAAATCTTTAGGGCCAGAAAGAGTTTATAAGACAATATCACAGTATATGTTATGCCGGAAGAGCTACAGACATGTATCAATTTATGCATGAAATTCACCCAATGATTTTAGTAATCAATTACATTATTGATCAATGAAGATAACTTGAGCTTTTATGGAAAATGAATGATCATAAACCTCCAATAACTAATCTTATGATATAGAATTCATAAATTTGTATTTTTCAAAAACATACCACTTACCCTCGAGTTCTACAATACGATGTTTAATTTTCGTGTTCTGTGCTCGAAGCTCAGTCACCTCATCAGAGAGACTCTTCACTTTAACTAGAGAAAGAACGAAGGAAAGCACGATTGATTTCTGAAATAATCATTTTGTAATCGTAGAAATAAACAATTAGAAAAATATGGCGGTAGGATACGACATTACAAGGTAATAATAAACTAGAAAGGTACATGAAACATTTGCAAAGAAAGAGCGGATGTCATCCATAAAATGAAATCAGTGTGTCCTTAGAAAGCGATCAACTGACCTGCAAAGTGTGATTGTAGAATGACGAGACACACAATCAGGCCAATGGTGAAGGCAATACACAGCTTTTTACCCAGACCTCGGACAACGCTCCAGGCGGTCCACAGATGTTTCCTCAGACCGCCCCCAGACGTCTTGTCAGGGTCTGCATTTGATGCCGCTTATTCACAACAACATTTATTATATGAATATATATATTAAAGGCATATCCAGTTATATAAATGAATGAATTGTTATATATTAAAGGGCGTATATTCTAGTTATATGGTATATCTAAAAGTATATATTTAATGTTATATCATACCCGGGCGGTCGGGTGATCCGACTCTTGGTCGAGCTGGTACCTCGGGCGATACGGAATTTCCCGTGTTGTCTTCTATATGTGTATCTAGTTATATATTTAATGGTATATCTATTAGTCATATATTTCACGGTATATATAGTTATATATTCAATATTATATCTAGTTATAAATTTAATGACATATCCAGTTATATGTTTAATGGGATAGCTAATTTTATATTCAACTGTATATATAGTTATATATTCAATGGCATATCTAGTTATATATTTAATGGCATATCTACTTATAAATTGAGTGGTGTATCCAGTTATATGTTTAAATTCATACGAGATGAGAGTAACAGAAACATGTATGTAAATGCACCTATGCTAGTTGGTACCAACGCCAGCAACATTTACAGTAAATAATCATATATCTAACCTACGAATCTTGTTAATTATGACTTATGGTAAACAACAATGGCAAAATTATGAACACATCTTGACAAAGGTTTACTGACCACAGTCCTCCACAGATGATTCAGAGCTTTTGTAGATTTTGTTTTTTCGTCTTGATTCTGAAAAATAGATGTAATTGCCATAATGCCAAATATTAATTTATGGTCTTCTCTATTCCAATTAACTAAGACGTACATGCACATGTCACAAAGTATGAAATTCCCATTTTCGGCTAAATAATCATAGCAATTTCGTATGATATATGCAAATTAAAAAGCCCTAAAACACACACACACACGCACACAAACACACACACACACACACACACACACAAACACACACACACGAACACACACTCACACATAATACCTCCTAATTAAGTGCACTATTTTGCACATACACATAACAAAAGCGCACAAACAATACCTCTTGAGTTATACATAGCGTTGGTGTTACTTGTAGCTGCGCTCGCGGCTGAGCCTCCACCGAACAACCACAGACTGCAGTACGGACGTGATGCCTCGAG